GTGCATGGTCTTGCACATGGTCTTGTGTCTGGTCTTGTGAAGGTCTCGACTACAACACTGGTTTGAATCTTGGGAAAAAAGGCAATAATTCTCACGTGGTACAACATTAATAATGGTAGGTTGAGATGGCGCGCGCGTTTGGAATTGAGAGACCTTCTGCCGTTGAGTCAGCATTTCTGCATGCTTCCGGATTCATGCCCTTAGTCTTTTACTGCTTATGGTCTCTACTCTCCACGGATGGTCCATGGTTGTGACGACGGGCTTTTTTGGTTGGGAGCAGGAATTCCGTAAGTCAGCAATTTTTAGCAATGTTGCCGTTTTCATCGACATCGAATTTTTATTACGACATTGCAACCTAGCTCGTCTCTTCAGATCCACCGTAGTTTCATTTAATTACAGTCAGACAATATCCCAGAGAACGTTCAACGTTGATCTCATTTTATCGTTTTCTTGTCTAACGCACAGTACTGAAACAATTACAGTTTAGCACAATAAACATCCGGCTAACATCATGATGTGCACCCTGGAGTAAAAGTCTCTTATATTCTCTGTTCCCGAAAAACCGCATAAATTATACACTCGCATTGAGATTCGCTGTTCGGAAGCGGAAAGACATCCCGCGAATAAATTACATCAGTATCCTCCTTCAGCGGCGCCCGGCATTCTACGAATTCCACCAAGGTTTAGGATCCTGTCCCTCGTTACTGATTTTCCAGAACGTTTTCCGTTTCGATGATGCCCGCCCGGCTTTTTCAGCGTATACAGAGGAGAGCGCGCGCAGAGCTCAGGGGCTGATTTCGCAGGTCTGCGAAGCCTGATCGTTGTCTGTATGTGCTCAGCGATTAATACTAATTGTTCGTGATCTTTTTCCTCAGGAGAGTTTGAATCGAATTTCCGAATCGGAATATTTTGCTTATTAGCTTGGGGGGGGCGGTTCAACATAATTCACCGGCCCATGAGGTACCAAAGAAAAGGTATGGGGGCTAGGCTAGCTATTATTCTTTTTTTTTTAGTTCTTGTTTC